CTGTCCAGCGCCTCCAGGATGTTGTGGACCGTCGTGAGCCGCCGGTGCGCCTCCTCGGTCGGGGGGCGGAAGGGGCAGGGGCCTGAAGAGGGGGACCCATGCAGGTGGAGGAGAGGAGGAGCAGGACGGAGGAGGAGGAGGAGCAGGACGGAGGAGCAGGACGGAGGGGGAAGGAGGAGGAAGAGGAGGAGGAGGAGGAGGAGGAGGAGGACGGAGGAGAAGGACGGAGGAGGGGAGGGCGGAGGAGGAGGAGGAGGAGGAGGAGGACCGAAAACGGAAGAGGACGGAGAAGGACGGAGGGCCCAGAAGCTCCAGGTAAAGACGGCAGGCTTCGAGGCAGTGTGAGGGGTGGGGGCAGCACACGCGGGGCCTTGCAAGGATCCGCCCCACGTGCAAAGCCCGCCCTGCGCCACCCCATCTCTTTCGGGGGTTGCTCAAGGTACCCTTGGCCAAAGGTGCCCCCAGCTGCTCGCTCCATTTGGGAGCCCCCAGGGGCCCCTCTGAGCCTCGTGAGGGGTGCTCTGGAGGCCGTGGGGGCCTCGAGGCGCCGAGGTGCTCGCCGGCCCCGCAAGGCACCGGGGCGCGAGGCGAGGGCCCGAGGCACAGACTCCGAATCCCACATGCCCTCCAGGCGTGAGTTGTCGTGCCGGTGTCTTTCTCCACCTTCCCCCTGCCCATTCGTCGATGGGTTGGCTACAAATCCCACGAGGTCCAACGAGGGTCCCTCTCCTCTTCCACAACCCCTCTTCCCCTCGGGGAGGGGGAGGCTCTCCGCCGTGGTGGATGACAGCAGCAGCACCCTTCGCACGCCCCTCGGCAGCCTCCGAAGGCTCCCCTCGACAACTGCACAACATGACCACTACTCTAATCCTCCCCTGCCTCTGTCTGGAGAGTGTCCCGTCCTCTCCGCGTGTTGTTGGAGGCCTGGAAATGGGCACCAACACCAACACAGGGGGTTGCCTCCACAGGGGGAAGATGATCCTAGATTTTGGTGTTGGTGGTGATCTTTCGGCCACCTTGGAAGCCAGAATATTACCACCATCGCCGAGATCGGGATCTTCTTCCCTCGGTGGAGGTACACCGCCGAAATTGGTGTTGGTGTCAACCTCTAGGCCTGCGATACTATTTCTTTACAGGTTTTCATTATTGGTTTTTCCCATGTGTTTTTTTCAATATGGTCGTTCCCTACCTAGGCTCTGCCTAGAAGGGTTCTTACTCTCTTAGCTTAAAGGGGCCGAACAATGGAAATCGCCCCGGGCGGTTCCCCCAGTCCCCGCCCCGCGGTTCCCCCCAGTCCCCTGGGAGCTTTAGCTTTAGCTTTAGTTTTAGCTTTAGCTTAGCTTTAGCTTAGCTTTAGCTTAGCTGTAGCTTAGCTTTAGCTTAGCGTTTCGCTTAGCGTTTCGCTTAGCGTTTAGCTTAGTTTTAGCTTAGCTTTAGCTTAGCTGTAGCTTAGCTTGAGCTTAGCTGTAGCTTAGCTTGAGCTTAGCTTTAGCTTAGCTATAGCTTAGCTTTAGCTTAGCTTTAGCTTAGCTGTAGCTTAGCTTTAGCTTATATTTAGCTTAGCTGTATCTTAGCTTTAGCTTAGCTGTTGCTCAGCTTTAGCTTAGCTTGAGCTTAGCTTTAGCTTAGCTTTAGCTTAGCTTTAGCTTAGATATAGCTTAGCGTTAGCTTAGCTTTAGCTTAGCTTTAGCTTAGCTTTAGCTTAGCTTTAGCTTAGCTGTGGCTTAGCTTTAGCTTAGCTTTAGCTTAGCTTTAGCTTAGCTTTAGCTTAGCTTTAGCTTAGCGTTACTGTTACTACTAATGCTGCTTTCCTAGGGATTCCAACTCCTAGGTAGGGTCGCACTGGGATAATTTGTTTTTTTCGAAATAGTGTTCCCGCTGCAGCGCCGCCCTCATTTCCGCGCTTCGGTCACTCAAGATCGTGCTCCCGCTGCAACCCCGGCCTCGTTCCCACGCCTCCGGACGGCACTTGGCATTCGAAAGCGCCCACATCTGAGAGGCACAATTGCGGAGGACATGGAGCTGACATTCCGGGCAAGCCCTGTCCTCTCGTAGATGGGTCACTTACCCTCCAAGTTATCTGGCGCCATACCACGGCATGCAATGCGATGCTGTGTTGTGCACCGCTGTGCAATGCCATGCTGCGTCGCAGTCGTACTATTATTCCCCAATCAGAGCTTGCCTTTGTAGAGGTCCTAGCGGATTCATATGGTTAGGTGGGCTTTGCCGCCGATTTCCGCGGCCTATAGCCCTACAGCCCTATGGTCCTATAGCCCTGTAGCCCCATAGTCCTATATACTCATAGCCCTGGGGCCCTAAAGCCCTATAGCCCCATAGCCCCAGAGCCCTACAGCCCTATAGCTCTGTAGCCCTATAGCCCTATAGCCCTATAGCCCTATAGCCCTATGGCCCTATAGACCTATAACCCTATGGCCCTATAGTTCCATAGCCCTATAGCCCCATAGCCCCACCGCCCTATAGACCAATAGCCCCACAGCCCTATAGCCATAAAAAGACTTCGATTGGGCCTTCTCTCGGGTAGCATTATGAATTTCCTGAAAATCTAATATCATCAACAGTACTGCTCGTGTTGCTGTTAGTACTAACACTAGTACTAATATCATGTTTTGCACCATTATTATGAACAATATTCGTACTAGTCGTCCCCTTAGTATCTTTAGCACTGCTTCTTCTTTTGAATACAACTACTACTATCCATCTTAATAGCACTATTATTACCCTCCGTTATTATCAGCAGTCGTATTCTTATTCGTCTTAGAATGAATTCGTCTTCGAAGTACTGTGTCAATAGTGATGTGATTCGCATTCGTCGCCTGATTAGCAAAAACATGCTTACTCATGCGAATTGCATTGTATGCATAAGAACCCTCATATTGCTATTAGCACAAGTAGTATAAGTTTCGCCTTCGTTTTGCTTCGTATTCTTATTATTACTGTTAGTCCTCTGAATGCTATTATCATTACTTGTCCTCCTCCTGCGCCTCCTTTTCCTTCTCCTCCTTATCTCCCTCCTCCTCCTCCTCGTCCTCGTCCTCCTCCTCCTCGTCCTCCTGCTCCTCCTCACCCCATCCCTCACTCACTACCACCACCATCTCTTCAACCTCATCCCCATCCTCTAGTAAAAAGATGGGCCTGAGGTGACCCGTCGCGCAGCTGGCCCATGGCTTCTTCGCACATCTCGTCGCAGGTACGAAGGCGCTCGTGGAGGTGCTCTGGCGAGATCTGCTCCAGTTCCTCCTGAGCCGGCGAGGCAACCGAAAGTCGAGCTGAGTGCTGGAACGCACGTGCAAACAAGGGGGAAGGAGAGGGGCCCCAAGAGCCCTTTGGGACAAGGCACGGGCCCCGCGTCCAGGAGGTGGTCCGACAAAACAACTTGCCAAAACGCGATAGAGAGAGAGAAAGAGAGAGAGAGAGAGAGAGAACAATCGCGCAGACGCTCAGGCGCGTGCGCGGGCGCACGAGCCGGGACCTGCGGGCCTGGCCGGCACACCCGCGGGCGCGCCAGCCAACGAGCGTGCGAGCGGAGTCGGCCAGGCGTGCGCGGGCGCGCGCGCAAGCGCCCGCCGGGGCAGTGCTCGGCGCGGCCCAGGGACCGCAGGAGCCCCCCGGAGCAGCGGCGGCGCTGGCGGCGCCGCACCCTTCGGGGGCCCTGCGGGGGAGGCCCCCAGGGAGGGCTCGAGCGCGGCAGGGTTTCATCCTGCGCACGCGCTGTGGTGCCTCTGGAGGCCCCCGGGGACATGGGGAGGCCTCCCGGGGACCTCTGGAGACCCTGGGCGACCTCCTGCGGGAGGGTGCGAGGAAGGGGCAGGGCAGTCGGGCAGGATCGGAGGGCGGCCAGAGAAGGGGGGGCGGGGGGGGGGGACGCGAGGGGATGAGAGAGGAAGGGTGGGAGAGGAGAACGGAAGGAGAACGGAAGGATACGAAAAGGCAGGAGCGGGGTGCAAGGGTGAAAGGGAGAGGCCAGAGGGAGCAGAATGGGGTGGGGGGGAACGGGGTGGGGAGGGGGGGGGGGGGGGCGACGAGGGGAACGGGGAGCGGGGGAAGGGCGAAGGCCACAGGGGGCAGGCGAGGGCCGCGGGGAACGGGAGAGGGGACCGCGCAGGGCGAGGGGGGCGGGGCGGGCGGAGGGAGCCGAGAGCGGAGGAGGGCGGCGGGGAGCAGAGCAAAACAGGAGGCGCGAGGGAGCGCGGCGGGAGCATGGCGAGGCAGGGGGGGGGGGGGGCGTCTTCCTGCCCCAGCTCGCCCTCCAGCGGGGCCAGCCCCGTCACGGCCACCTGCGCGGCCAGGCTGAGCGCGTCGAGGTCCGGGGCCTCGGGGAAGGCGGGGCACAGACAGGAGTGGAAGGAGGCAGAGGAGGAGGAGGGGGGAGGAGGAGGAGGGGGGGGAGGGGGAGGGTGAGGAGGGTGGAGGAGGAGGAGGAAGAGGAAGAGGAAGAGGAAGAGGAAGAGGAGGAGGAGGAGGAGGAGGAGGAGGAGGAGGAGGAGGAAGAGGAGGAGGAGGAGGAGGAGGAGGAGGAGGAGGAGGAGGGAGGAGGGGGAGGAGGGAACGAAAGCCTCGAGGGGGCACAGCAATGCGGGAAAGGAGGCAGGGAATCAGGCGGAGGAGGAGGCGGAGGAGGAGGAGGAACGAGCGAACGCCCGTGAGCGAGCCCGCCCGTGTCCAAGAGGGCATGGCGTGGCGGCCGCGGGGTCGGCAAGGGAGATCACGAGTTCAAGCATGTGAAACGTACTCCTGATTTCGTAATAAAGGGAGGGGGGTCTCATTTCGGGGGGGGTCTCTTCCAGGCTATCTTGGAGGGCCTGGGGGGGTCTGGGGACGATGTTTTGGAGGGTTCTCCCACGGGGGGGGTCTGAAATGGCTTGTCTTGGAGGGTCCAGACCCCCTCACTTTTATTACGAAATCTGGAGTACGCGGCCTCACCTGCTCAGATGCGATCCCCCTTAATTGTCTCACCAGCCTGGTCTCGTGCTCGCGGTTTTCCAGTGTTGGTCCTCCTGCGCCACGTCCTGTTCATGCTCGAGGTTGCATGCATGACCTCGTCGATACGGCACATTAGTTTCCTACCGAACTGCTTAAGACGTGCGTCTTCCGCTGGTTCCTTCACGCCGTCCTCCTTGTTTGGCGCACTCTCCTCGTCGTATTGCTTGTCGAGCTCGGCGTCGTCTCGGTCTAAGCCGGCTTTGATCATCCAGCACAAATCGAACTTGAACTGTTCACAACTACACAATACGAATACTACTCTCCTCTCTGTCTCTCTTTCTTTCTTTCTCTCTCTCTCTCTCTCTCGTTCCCGAAGACGCTTGTGAGGTCTCTTACAAATAGGATGCCGCCGACTTGATAATCATTATGGGATCGCCCAAACAGAACATGTTCAGTTCTGTCAGGATGGCGTTCCCGCTACAGCGATGGTTCCATGCTCCCTTTCTCCATTCCTTCCAGATCATGATCCCGCTGCAGCGCGAATCTAATTTCATGGTTTCGGCTCTTCCAAATCATGTTCCTGCTGCAGCGTTGGTTTCGTTCCCGCGTTTCCAGTCCTTTCAAATCGTGTTCCCACTGCAGCGTTGGTCTCATTTCCGCGGTTTCGGTCCTTCGAAAGCGCGTTCCAGCTGCAGCGCTGATTTCATTTAGCATTTCGCGTTTTTTCAAAACGTCCACTGGCATGCCCCGTCCTGTGTCATTTCTGGTTTCCCTTTGACCTTGCTGTCGAATTCCATCGCGTGCTCGACGCGAAGCCACACTATGCTATACCGTGCTACACCATGCCTCGCGTATTCTCTCGGGATTATGGCCCTGTTCAGTATCCAAACTCTGCGAATAGCGAGGATATTTACGCAATGGTAAGGGATGTGGAGGGTAGGACGTCGGACATGACGCTGGCGCAGTTAACTTGCCCGCACCCCTCGCCGCTCTTACTTTAGGACACATTCATACTGTTGTAATTCATGGACCGCGCATATTTATGGTGAGCCATTCCCGGGGACGCTTCCAAAACCGACACAAGCACGGTGTCGCAGGCTCATGTGAGATGCCACCACTTCCTGGAGATTGAACTTGTCTCTGGATTTGTTGATGCACAACGCATGGCATTGGGGATAATAGTATCCAGCTCATCGATGTGCTAAACATCGCTGGTCGTGGGGAACGACACCAATTCAGGGCAGGACAATCACGTGTTGCTGCCGTCCGTATTGCCCGCATGTCCACTGAAGCCAAGACCGTCTGGAATGCTACATCCGCTGCCGATGTCAACGTTAGAGCGCGTATCACGGGCGCTTGCCTTGGGAACATTCGGCGGCGCAGTTCGAACCGGGGGTGGGCTCCCCTCCCCAACACTCGGCACCGTCGTTTAAAACCAGGGGGACTCCCCTCCCCCCAAACCCCCCCCGCCCGAACCCCCCCCCCGCCCCCCCGGGCGCCGGCGCCAAAGCAGGCGCTGGCGGCCGCCAGCAGCGCCGACGGCGGGGACGCAGCGACGATGACCAGAGGCAACCACACGGGTGGGGGGGGTTTTACCCCCCCGCCCCGCTGGCGCCAGCACCAGCGCCGGCGCTGGCGGCGGCCAGCACCGCCGGCGCTGGTGGCGCCGGCGACGGCGGGGACGAACACCACCACCACCACCACCACCACCACCGCCTCAACCCACGACCACCACCACCAACCCATCACACAACCACCACCACCGGCACAGCCACCACCACCACCACCACAACCACTACCACCGCAACTCACCATCACCACCACCACCACCACAAAACAAAAACAAAAAAAACAAAAAAACTACCACCACCACCACCACAATCTACCACACCACCACCACCACCACCACCACCACCACCGCCACAACCACCACCAGCAGCACAACCCACCACCACCACCACCACCACAAACCACCACACCACCACCACCACAATCCACTGCCACCACCACAACCCACCACAAGAACCACCACAAACCACCACCACACCACCACCAAGCCACCACCACCACCACAACCCACCACCACCACCACCACAAACCACCACCACACCACCACCAAACCTCCACCACCACCACCACCACCACCACCCACCACCACAGCCACCACCACCACAACAAACCACCGCACCACCTCCACCACAACCGCCACCACCGCCACCACCACCACAACCCACCACCACCACCACCACCACCGTCTTCGTCGACGCTCCCCGCCGCCGCCGCCCGCCGCCGCAGGCGCCAGCGCCGGCCCAGAAAACGAAATCGTCGTCCCCGCCGCCGCCGCCAGCCGCCGCCGACGCAAGCGCCAGCCCGAGGAGAGTGAGAGAGGAGAAGGAGGGGAGGAAAGTGGGGTGGGGGATTCGAACCCCCCCCCTCTGTCACGGGAGAGGGGGGGGCGTCGAACCCCCCCCATCCAGGGGAGGTAGGGGGGAGGGGAGGGGGGGGAGGGGTCCGATTCTAACCTTCCCCCCCCCCCAAGCGACCACAGAACGCGCTCTTTCCAATGTTTGCGTGCCTCCGACAGCGACGCCACACAGCTTGTCCACCCTGGCCGCGATCCTTGATAATTTCTTCCATGTACAAGCCTAGAAGGAGGATGAGGAGGGGGAGGCGGGGGAAGCAAGAGGGGGAGGAGGGGAGGGAGGAAGAGGGGGGTGGAATCTGGCACCTGCTGGAGGCGCCACCACAATCAATATCCAACAAAATGCCGTGGGCCGTCTCGACACCAGGGCCAGGGTACGCTTTAAATGCCACCGCAAGCGAGCACAATCGATTGAAGATCCTTCGGAGCTGGTGGAGCAAGCGCGGCCCAGAAAATATATTGAAAGATCCTGGTGATGCCGAGCGCGGTAATCAGAACGAAGCATCCAACGGAGCGCAGACAGCTGGAACGACGCGCCGGCTGTCGTCCAAGGCTACAGTGCAAGCGAGGTCACAGGAGGAGGAGGAGGAGGAGGAGGAGGAGAAAGAAGAAGAAGAAGAAGAAGAAGGAGAAGAAGAAGAAGAAGAGGAGGAGCGGAACAGCCGGTGGGGCAGGAGGATCAAGGAAAGACCGAGGAGAGGAAAAGAGAAGCACGGTGCCGACGAGGAAGAAATCGATGCAGAGCTGTGTGGCCCGCGCAGGGGCGAAAGCGCCACTCGGAAAGACGGGAGCAAAGTCGCCGACCCCTTGGGGGGTGCCCCGGCGCGTGAGAGGGCTGCCCCTCCCCGGACCCCTCACCCAGGAGCCTGGCTCTGCCGACTGGAGGCGGGGGTGTTCCCGCCAGGCGGGGCCGTCGGGGATCTGCATCTGCTCGAGGGGCGCCCTTTGGCGTCCAAGACGGGCCAAGACGACCTCCAGTGCGTTCAGGATGACACAAAAAGAACCGGAAAGGATCCCAAGACGCATCCAAGACGGACCAAGATGAACGCAAGACGGCCCCAGACGGTCTCAAGATGGCCCAAGAGGCCCCCGATGCGGCCCAAGAGGCACTCCACGAGGGCCCGAAGAGTCCAAAATTACAGATGCCCCTTACGTTTTTCAATGATGTGCGCGGTCTCGCCATTTTGGGCTTCCGACAACCGAAGACGGCCCCAGAAGCCCCTAAGATAGCCCCAAGATGGCCCCAAAAGCCCCCAAGAGAGCCACGAGGGCCCAAGACGGCCCAAGAGGCCCCCAAGACGGCCCCAGAACGGCGGCCCAGTGACCTCCAAGACGGCCCGAAACTGTCGGTGAGGAAGGCCGAAGGAGGTATGATCAGGCCGAAAAGGAGGAACGAGGCCGAAAAGGAGGACGAACGAGGAGGAGGCAGGAGGGGGAGAGGGAGAGGGGGAGAGGGGGTGAGAGCGAGAAACGGAGAGAGGGAGAGGAGAACCGAGGGACGGGAGGAGGAGGGATGATGAGGAGGAGAAGGAGGAGTGAGGAGGAAGATTTCAGACGGCTCATGCTGCCTCAAGGGCAGCAGGACCCTTGAGTTCGGGTGGGGCCTGGTAGCTCTCTCATCCTTGAGCTCGGTGCATGTGACAGTAGGGCGGTCGCCACCTTCACAAGGGGGACCTGGCTGAAACCATCGGGCGCACTTGGATGAGCGCATGGCGTGTAGCCAAAACCGTCAAAAAGCCTCGATCCGCTTCTCCTCCTCCTCCTCCTCCTCCTCCTCATCTTCATCTTATTACTATTCATCATCATCATCATCATCATCATCATCATCATCATCATCATCATCATCATCATCATCATCATCATCAGCATCATCATCATCATCATCATCATCATCATCATCATCATCATCATCATCATCATCATCATCATCATAATCATCATCATCATCATCATCATCATCATCATCAGCATCATCATCATCATCATCATCATCATCATCAGCATCATCAGCATCATCATCAGCATCATCATCATCATCGTCATCATCGTCATCATCATATTCTCACCATCACCATCAACGTCATCATCATCGCCATCGTCAGATCGTCATCGTCTTCGTCATCATCATGATACCCACAGCCACAATCATCATCATCGTAATAATAATACTAATGATAATCATACAAATACAGCTAAAAGTAATAAAACTGAGCCGCACTAGTAATATTAATGACAGTAGTACTACCAACAAATGATGAAAAGACTCCGAATACTGATAGCACTACTACTGCTAATAATATCATCCTCCCCAGCAGCAGCATTATGCTCATGCTCACCAGCATCATGATGATGATCAGCATCACCATCACCACCATCATCATCATCATCAGCAGCAGCAGCATCAGCATCATCATCACCACAAACATCGTCATCATCATCGCCATCGTCATCGTGATCGTCATCGTCGTCATCATCATGATACCCACAACCACAATCATCATCATCGAAATAATGGTACGAAAAAACAGTCGTGCAAAAACCTACAATGGCCATGAAACTAATACGCACACATAACAATAAAACAACAGTAACAATAACGATAATAATACGAATCCTACCACTAACTCCTAAAATATATTCATATAACCAGCCTCAGCAGCAGCATGATGCTCATGCTCACCAGCATCATGATGATCATCATCGTCATCACCATCATCACCATCATCATCACCATTAGCATCAGCAGCAGCATCAGCATCATCATCAACAGCAGCAGCATCATAGTCATCATCACCATCAGCAGCGGCAGCAGCATAATCCTTCTCATCCTTATCCTCTCCCCCATCATCATCATCACCACCAACATCATCCCCACCACCACCACCACAACCACCACCACAACCATCATAATCATCTGCATCGTCATCCTCAGATGTATATGGATCGTCTTCATCTTCATCATTGGCATCAGCGCCATCATCATCATCAGCAGCATCAGCAGCATCATCATTATCAGCATCGTCATCATCCTCATCCTCATCCTCATCCTCATCCTCATCCTCATCCTCATCCTCATCGTCGTCCCCCACCACCACCACCACCACCACCACCATCCTCCTTTTCCTCCCAGTGCGATGAGATGAGCCCGCGAAGCAAGCGGGGCCCGCGACGATACGATGCCTCTGGTCCCCAGGCCCGCCGGCCCGCCGGCCCTTGCCTGCGAGGAACGGCGCGGCGCCTGCTGCCGTGGCCTCGACGGCGAGGGCACGGCCGGCTGGGCGGCCGGCATCGCCGCGGCCTGCCGCCGCCGCGCGGGGGGCGCGGGGGGGGGGCGCACGGGCCGCGGCCGACGCCGCCCTGGCCCCGATCCTCCCCCTCCTCCTCCTCTGCCTCGTCCTCGTCCTCGTCCTCCTCCTCCTCCTCCTCCTCCTCCTCCTCCTCCTCCTCCTCCTCCTCCTCCTCCTCCTCCTCCTCCTGCTCCTGCTCCTGCTCCTGCTCCTGCTCTGCTCCTCCTCCTCCTCCTCCTCCTCCTCCTCCTCCTCCTCCTCCTCCTCCTCCTCCTCCTCCTCCTCCTCCTCCTCCTCCTCCTCCTCCTCCTCCTCCTCCTCCTCCTCCTCCTCCTCCTCCTCCTCCTCCTCCTTCCTCCCCTCCCACCCCTGCCCTCGCCCAGGGCCAGCGAACGGCGGCCCGCTGTGCGCCCGCCCCCCCCCCTCCCGCGCCCCCCGCGCAGCCCCCGCGCCGCCGAGGCCGATGCCACGCGCCCGCGCCGCGCAGCGCCGGGCGCGGCGCCCAGACGTGTTGTCCGGGGCCGCGCCAGCGCCGCGCCGCGGGCCTCGGGCCGAGGGCAGCAGCGGCATCGTGAAGTCGTCGGATGGCGTCATCATCACGAGCAGCAGCACCAGCATCAGCATCGTCGTCGACGTATGAACATCCTCAGCGTCATCATCCACAACAGTCATAGCAACGGCCATCGTTCTCAGACTCTGCAATCCTATCTGCTCGCGTGCCGCTCAACACGTATATCCCCAACCCTCGGTACGCGCCCTCTTCGTTTTCGATCGTAACCATTTGGGGTATACCTTCCTTACCTGCCACGGGCATTTAGCGCAGCACCTCAAACAGGTAAAGCGAGGACGGATGGAAGGGGGAAGGAAAAGCATGGAACAAGGAATTCGCAGGAGGGGGGCTAGGAGCACACAGCACGTGGCAGAACCAGACGGGCAGATCGAGCGGGCAGACCCTGGCGGGCGGGTCGGGCAGGCGGGCCCAGGCGGCCAAGTCCAGCAGGCGGGTTGCTCAAGCGTGAATCCTGCATGAATCGCGAGAGAGTCTCGAGCGATAGCGCGACTCCCAAGTGAATCGCGAGAGAAAGAAAGAAAGAAAGAAAGAAAGAAAAAAAAAAAACGCGATTCCTGAGCGTCGCAAACGCCGCGTTTATAGAAAATGAACAGAAGTCCCACGCGAGAGCGCGATTCCTGCAGAAATTTGAAGACGTCCCGCGCGAGAGCGCCATTTCTCAATAAATTGTAAGATGTATCAAGCAAGGGCAAAAACTATTGCAGGTCGGAGGCCAACAACACAGTTCGGTGACCCCATATCTTCTCGTGTAACAAACAAGGTCCGCCTCTCTCTCTCTCTTGGCTGGGGATCGTGTGTCCTCCTCCAGCTACCCCCACCTGCACCCCACTGCCCCAGTGGTGCGCTCCACGGGCTACGGCTACTTACCATTCCATCTGGACCCCGTCTTTTCCTTCTCCTCCCCTCCCCCTCTGCCGTATTCAAGGATCTGGGACTTTGTGTCCCACCTGTACCCATCTGCGATGATGACTGGAGCATCGACGACTGGCGTGGCACGCCCTGTCTTTACCTGCAATGGGACCTTGTGTCCTACCTGTACCCATAGGGGCTTGCCCCTCACGTGAGCACCCTCGGCGCAGGCTGACGCGACTTCGGCTGGCGCGGGATGCTGGCCTCTCTCCTCCCTGTTCGCTTCGTCCCCCCCCCGCTCGCTTCCCCCCCTCCCATGGCGGCAGCGCCTGGCACAACGCGGCTTCGGCCCGGTGCTGGGCTCTGCACCTTGCCGCCTCGGCGGCCCCGCTCGCCTTGGCGCTGCGCAGCTCAGGCCCGGCCCTCGGCCATGCGGACGTCAGCGCATCGCGTGTGGCACCCGCCCGTCTTCACGCGCTGACTGTGCAAGTCAGGTTCCTTCCCTGCACTCCACCGACATCCAGTCGGACACGGACGGCCCTGTCTCTGGCCTCGCCTCTTGCTGGCTGCTCCCTGGACGTGGATTGGACTACCACCCCAGGCCGCTTCCGACCACCCAATGGCACAACGCTGCACATCGCCTTCGTGGTCCTCCGTTTCTCCTGGGCCCCCTCCTCACCATCCGGTGGCACAACGTTGCTCATCGACTTCATGGTGGACCTCTCTCTCCCCCCTGGACGTCGACCTGGTCGCGTACAACGTCTTCTTATGCAGCACTTGAGGATGGTGTTTACGGAGCGCCGTTGACGGCAACACCACACCGCTCACCCTCCGGATCTTCGCCTCCGGCTCCTATCCAAGGCGTTCTCTTTCCTGTGCAAGCTCTTCAACACCGCCTGCACCCCGGCCCGCCCTCCAGCCGCCTGAGGCCCCGCCCGCCTGTGCCCTGTCTCCCCAATTAGAGCTGTGCGTAGCCCGCCTAGCTTGTACCGGAAGAGGTTCGCTCTCGCCCCGCAGACCAAAAAAAGTAACCAACAAGGTGCGAGTCCAGGGAAGAGCTACGACGACAAGGGCTCCCGTTCGATACTTCCTCAAGATGTGTTCGCAGGGGCCCTTACCAGAGGCCCCCGAACTCAAGCGTGGCGCTCTCGCTCGAGACTTTCTCGTATTTCAGGCAAGTTGTTGGTGGTGGTGGAGACCCAGGCACGGCGACAAGGGTTCCCGTTCGATATCCAGAGAGGCCCCCAAACTCAGGAGCGGCGCTCTCGCTTGAGAGTTCCTCGCATGTCAGCCAGTGGCTGACAAGGAAGATGTTCCCCCCGAAAGGGGGTCCGAACGAAGACGAAGTGGGCGGGTATCGAGGGCTGGGGTATACAGAATGCAAGACACGCGTGCCAGTAAGAGCGAAAATGAAATGATTGGTGTTGTTGCTGCTGTTGGTGTTACTAGTGTTGTTATTGCTGCTGTTGAAAATCGTTACTGGAGAAACTGATTGCTGATCCTCCCCTCCAGAAACATATGTTTCCACTGAAATGCCCCTCCCGGGGCTCGCACCCTGATCTTCCCCAACCATCCTGTGGTGCTGGGTCCTCGCTTTGAAAAGACAACGCCCCACGTTCATTCCTCTCCTCATTCTCCTCCTCCTCCTCCTCCTCCTCCCTCCTCCTCCTCCCTCCTCCCGTAACCTCCCTCACTTCGGCACACACACACACATCACACGCTTCGTGGCCCCATAGGGAGCTCCAGCGAAGGCCCAGGTGCTACCGTCTGCATGCGTCCCCCATACCCATCTCGGCACACCCCTCACACGTTTCGTGGCCCCATAGGAGCTCCAGCGAAGGCCCCAGTGCCACCGTCACCATGCAGTCCCCACACCCATGTCGGCACACCCCTCACACGTTTCGTGGCCCCATAGGGAGCTCCACCAAAGGACCCAATGCCACCCTCCACATAATTACGTCCCCACACCGATTTCGGCACACCCCTCACACGTTCAGTGGCCCCATGGGGAGCTCCACCCAAAGCCGCAGTGCCACCGTCCACATGCAGTCCCCCACACCCATCTCGACACCCACCTCACACGTGTCGTGGCCCCATAGGGGGCTTCAGCGAAGGCCTCAGTGCCACCGTCCACATGCGTCCCCCACAACGATTTCGGCACACCCCTCAAACGTTTCGTGGCCCCACAAGGAGCTCCAACGAATGCCCAAATGGCACCGTCCACATGCGTCCCCCATATCCATTTCGGCACACCCCTCAAACGCGTCGTGGCCCCATAGGGAGCCCCACCGAAGGCCCCAGTGCCACCCTCCACATGCGTCCCCCACACCCATGTTCGCACACCCCTCACAAGCTTCGTTGCCCCATGCGGAGCTACACCGAAGGCCGCAGTGCCACCGTCCACACGCGTCCCCCGCACCCATCTCGGTACACCCCTCAAACGTTTTGTGGCCCCATTGGGAGCTCCACCGAATGCCCCAGTGCCACCGTCCACATGCGTCCCCCACACCCATGTCGGCATACCCCTCACACGTTTCGTGGCCTCATAGGAAGCTTCACCGAAGACCCCAGTGCCACCGTCCACACGCGTCCCCCGCACCAATTTCGCAACCCCCCTCACACGTTTCATGGCGCACCCCTCACACGCTTCGTGGCCCCACAAGGAGCCCCACCGAAGGCCCCAGTGCCGCCGCCCACATGCGTCCCACACAACAATTTTGGCACACCCCTCACACGTTTTATGGCCCCATAAGGAGCTCCAGCGAAGGCCCAAATGACACCGTCCACTTGCAGCCCCCACACCCATGTCGGCACACCCCTCACACGCTTCGTGACCCCATGGGGAGCTCCACCGAAGGCTCCAGTGTCGCTTCGGCACCGCCCTCGCACGCTTCGTGGCCCCATTGGGAGCTACACCGAAGGCCCCAGCGCCACCGTCCACATGCGTCCGCCGCACCCAGTGCACACCCCTCACAGGGTTCGTGGCCCCATAGGGAGCGCCACCGAAGATATTCAAAGTTACGGTAAGCGCAACTGCATATGTTTGGGTCTTTCGCCAGACTCATTTATCGGGGAAACCGTCCTGTTCAAACTACGCCCCTGCCCCTTGATTACAACAACAACTGCTCCCCCCTGATACTTGCTCTCAATGTACTGCTAAATCGCGCTATCCCTTGATACGTCCTCGACGTTTATCTAAGAATCGCACTCTCGCCTGTGACCTCCTCGCAATTGATTCAAGCGCCACGCCCTCGCCATTCACGAATCGCGCTCTCGCCTGGGACTTCCTCATAATCTGCTGAGGAATCGCGCTCTCGCCCGAGATCTCTGGGCGAATTACCCAAGATTCACGCACTCGCGTCATATACCTATTTTCAATGAAAGTGCCCCTTCAGGGGCTCGCTGTGCTTTTACCGGAGAAAATTGTCCTGCTCAAACTGTGCCCCTGGCCCCCGGTTTACAGCAACAACTGTTCCGACCGAGTACTTCCTTGCACTGTATTAGGGAATCGCGCTCTCGCTAGGGACTTCCTTGCAATATAACGAAGGATCGCGCTCTCGCTGGATACTTCCTCGCAATTTATTCAGGCGTCGCGCTTTCGACACTCAGGAATCGCGCTGTCGTTTTGACTTCCTCGCAATTGATTCAGGCGCCGCGCCCTCGACACTCATGAATCACGCTTTCGCTTTGGATTTCCTCACGAAGTTTATTTTGGAATCCTGCTGTCGCTCAAGGCTTCCTCGCGACTCATGCAAGACGCACGCTTGAGCAACCCGGCTGCTCCACCCGGCCACCTGGGCCCACTTGTTAGGGTCTACCCGCCCGATCTGCCCGGTTAGGTCTGCCACGTGCTTTCTGATGTTTAACCCCCTCTCCTGCTAGTCTTTCTCTCTCTCTCTCTCTTTCTTTGTCTTTCGTGTTCCATCCTCATTTCCCCATGTGTATGTTCCCTCCATCCGTCCTCTCTTTCCCTGCCTCACGTGCTGCACGAAATGCACGTTGCAGGTAAGAAAGATATACCCCAATGGGGATACGAACGAAAACGAAGAGGGTGGGTATCGAGGGTTTGGGATATACGTGTTGACTAAGAGCGAACAATACTAACATGTTTGTTGTTGGTGGTGTTGGTGTTGTTATTGGTGCTCTTGTTGTTGGTGTAAGTCGGGGGCCAGAACCTCAATCTGAAACGCAAGACTATCTTTTGTAAAAGACAGTTGTGAACCCCACGCGGGGTACTGTAAATTGGAAACATAAATTGGGAACCAAGGGGAGCCACAGTATAAAGAAACCTCAATATCAACAGCAACAGCATCACCATCACCACCACCCTCCTCCCGCTCATCCACAGCATGATCACAATCATCATCACCCGCAACATGATCATCCCCATCGTCATAAACAAGTCATTCGTATCCTCATCATCATCACCATCATGAGGACAGCCATCACAATTAGCATCAACATCGCCATAGGCACCATCACCATGGTCAGCATGATCATTAGCGCCATTAGCACCGCTCACTCTGGTGATCAACATCGTCCTCAGCAGGACCATCATCGTCAGCAGGAGCATCAGCATTGTCATTATAATCATAATCAGCACCACCATGCTCAGAATCGCCATCATAATCATCACCATCCTCACCACCATCGGCTTAATCATCATCATCATCATCATCAGCATCAGCATCATCATCATCATCATCATCATCGTCATCATCATCATCATCAGCAGCATCCCCATCACCATCAGCATCATCATCATCAGCATCCCCATCACCATCAGCATCATCATCATCATCATCAGCATCATCATCAGCATCCGCATCACCGACATCATCATCATCATCATCAGCAGCATCATCATCACCATCACCATCAACATCAACATCATCATCGTTTCGGTCCCTCTGGGCCTATGGTGCCTGGGACAGGTCGTTCCTGTCTTACACGCAGTTGTTGCGGCACGCGACGGGATGCGGCAACACTCGCGCCGTGCACTGCGAGATCCATGTTGATGCTGCACATCAGCGCGATCGGTCCCCCACTTGTGCCCACGTAGACGTTGATTGCACGTCCGCCCACATGTTCCTCTCGGTTTGCGGTGTCCCTCGTACGCTGGCGGCATCGGCGCCAGGCAGTCTGTGGGCTCGATCGATCCATCTGGTGCGACTACGTCGTCCTCCCATTCGGCTTGTATGTGGTGTTCAATTTCGGCCCCACCCGTGGCGGCTCCTACTTGCGAAACTGGGCGGCACGCTTCAGGCGGCGGCTTCCATGGACGCGGTTTTCACGGCGGCGGCTCCCACGGACGCGGCCCTCACGGCGGCGCCTCCCACGGCGGCGGCTCCCGCGGCGGTTACCAAAGAGGATGCTCCCACGGCGGCCCCCGCGGCAGCGGTTCCCTCGGAGGCGGCCCCCACGGCGGCGGCTCCTTCGGAGGCGGCTCCCACGGCGGCAGCTCCCGATTCCCACGGCGGCGCCTCCCACGGCGGCTGCTCCCACCACGACGATTGATTCCTCGAGGCGGCCACCGTGGCGGCAGCTCCCACGGCTGCGGTTCCCATTTCGATTTCTTCTGCACGGAGACGACTCCCACAGCGGCAGATCCCACGGCGGCGGCCCCCACGAAAGCGGGCCCTACGGCGGCGGCCCCCACGGCGGCCCCCAAGGCGGCGGCTCGCGCGGCGGATGTGAGCTGCAACACCACTGAGCGATCCAGGTTGGGGGGCACCATGAATGCCGACACCGCTGTACCAGTGTCGCGCAAGTTCTCCCAGCCCTACGTCACTGCGAGCCCTGCACCCGCCCCCCGATAGCCTTTAGGGGCGCGTCCTGCACCGTCTAGAATCTTGTACATACATCTGTACCCCCTGAAACGAACTAAAGGTTCCCATACTCTCTCCTCATACTCTCTCCTCCTCCTCCTCCTCCTCCTCCTCCTCCTCCTCTTCTTCCTCCTCCTCCTCCTCCTCCTCCTCCTCCTCCTCCTCCTCCTCCTCCTCCTCCTCCTCCTCCTCCTCCTCCCTCCTCCTCCTCATCCTCCTAATCACCCTCATCCTCATCATCAGCCTCATCATCATCACATCATCATCATCATCATCATCATCATCATCATCATCATCATCATCATCATCATCATCATCATCATCATCATCATCATCATCATCATCATCATCATCATCATCATCATCATCATCATCATCATCATCATCATCATCATCATCATCATCATCATCATCATCATCATCATCATCATCATCATCATCATCATCATCATCATCATCATCATCATCATCATCATCATCATCATCATCATCATCATCATCATCATCATCAGCATCATCATCATCATCATCATCATCATCATCATCATCATCATCATCATCATCATCATCATCATCATCATCATCATCATCATCATCATCATCATCATCATCATCGTCATCATCATCATCAGCATCATCATCATCAGACTCATCATCATCATCATCATCATCATCCTCAAATCATCATCATCAGCATCATCATCATCCTCAGCGTCAGCGTCATCATCATCATCGTCGTCGCCGTCGTCAGCAGCATCCTCATCATCATCATCATCATCATCATCATCATCATCATCATCATCAACATCATCATCATCATGATCCTCATCAGCATCATCATCATCAGCATCATCATGCTCGTCAGGATCCTCTGCATCATCAGCAGCATCAGCATCAGCATCAGAATCAGCATCAACATCATCATCATCATCATCATCATCATCATCACCATCATCATCATCATCATCATCATCATCATCAGCGGCATCGTCATCGTCACCGTCATCAGCATCATCACCACAACCATCATCATCATCATCAGCAGCATCATCAGCATCATCATCATCATCCCTGTCCTAATCAGCATCATAATCAGAATCAACATCATGGTCAGCATCATCAGCATCATAATCAGCATCAGCCTCATCATCACCATCAACATCATCAGAAGAATCACGTGCAGCAGCAGCATCAGCATCATCATGATCATCAGCATCATCATCATAATCAGCATCATCATACTCATTATCAGCATAATCATCATCAACAGCATCATCATCATAATCATCATCAGCATCAGCATCATAATAATCATCATCAGTATCATCATCATCACCATCAGCATCATCATCACCATCACAATCACCATCACCATCATCATCACCAGCAGCAGCAGCGGCATGATTGTCCTGCTGTCCATCCCTCATCCGCAAACCTCGTCCCACACATCCTCTCGGACTTCCTCTCAGACTGTCAACCCCACAATTCGCACTGGCCCGCCCGCGCGCAGATGTCGCCACTTGGGGCGTCCAGAGCTCCAGGATGATGATCAGCCTGAAGGCGAAAGGAAGCAAGAGGAGAAGGGTACAAAACGTGAAGGCGCGGGGGGGTGCGGGTCCCCATGGGCGAAGGCAGAACAAGGGAAAACGCATCGGGACGGGAATTCGGCAATGAGTACTGTCAGACCACCTAACTCGCGACCTAGATTATTGCACAGCTTCGAACTTCTTTTCGCTGGCCCCCATCCCTCCAGACGAGCCATATGCCATGGAGCAGCGCTGTTGGGGTGGGAGCGGGGCGGGGCGGGCGGGCCGCACACAAAAGGGTTCCTTGCCCTTTCCAGACGCCCCTCCCGGCAGCGAAGAGACGACTCGGCACTTGGGTGCGCCGGCGATGCAGCGCCTGGCCAGGCCCTTGCAGGCAGGACGGGCGGCATCGGGGGAGCGCAGGCCGCGGACCCTGCCCATGGCTCGGGTCGGGCGAAAGGGGGGGATAGCAAAGGGGGGGTTTGAGAATCAGCTCACGTAGCTGATTTTCCCGGCGCCTCCCGGCGCCGGAGGCGACTATGTATCGAGGAATGGGCCCCTCGGTGAGGCCGAAATCAGCTGCATGCAGCAAATTTCGTAACCCCCCCTTTCCCAATCCCCCCCTTTCCCCCGGCCCGAATGGCCAGCACTACCCATTGCCGGACGTCCTCCGCTGCACTCCCGACGCCCCCCCGCTGCCGAGGCCCCGGCGGCCCGCGCCTCGCCCGCGCGCGAGGCGGGCGGGTCCCGCACGCGACTCCGAAGCTCGACTCAGCTCGGCGCCCGAGCCGTCCCCGGGGGGAGGCGCCCCTGCGAGGGGCCTAGCACGACGCGAAGATCGGGGCAAAATCGGATCGGGATGACTCGAAATCTCTGAGCATCGGCGGGTTTTTGGAGGATGTCTTGGGCGCCGCGGCCGCTCCAGAGCGGTCCGGAACGCTCTGGAGCGATCTATCCCGATCCTGGCTCTGTTTTAGGGCCAGGTGGCGGCGGCGGAGCGCCGACGGCCGTGCCAACAACGGGAAAGAACAGATCCTGGCCGGCTCCATCGACGCCCCACGGCTGCGTCGCTGCCGGTCGTCCTGTGCGACACAGGACACATTTTCAAGCCAGCGGCGCAGGAGGATCCTCGGGCGCGCAACGCAGACGGAAGTGCGAATTGCAATCGAAGATTGCCCAAAGCACAGTGTGCAGAGCGTGCACACTGTCGATGCAGCGACAGGTGGTGTGTAGGAGGAGCAGCAGACCCCAGCGACACGCGCAGCGGCCAGAAGGCGAAAAAGACCACTCTGGTGCCGCGGCCACGCGCGCAGCGACGCGGCGTACAGAGGCGGGCGAATCACACGCCCGCGCTCTGTTTAAGCCAGCGGCGTAAAGGGCCGTCAGGCGCAAACAGCAGATGGAAGTGCTCATTGCGATCGAGCACCGTCGAGAACGCATCGGAAGAAATGTCAAACACTGACGTGCAGGGATGAGCGGTTGGTGGGAAGGACTGCAACCCAGCGAGCGTGCAGCGGCAATAAAACCGAGGAGCACGTTCGAACGAACGAGCAAGACTTCAGGCGAACTGAATCGCGAGCAGTTTGGTGCTAATTGCCACAGAGCCATCCACGCCCACTTTGAAAGCCAGCGGCGCAGAGGGTCCTCAAGCGCGGGCAGCAGGTGGAAGTGCTAATTGCGAGAAAGCATGATCGAAAGCATGATGAAAAAATGCCAAAGACTGACGTGCAGGGATGGGTGGGGGGCCAGAACACCGAGGAGCACGACCGAGCGAGCTCAACTCAAGGCGAACCGAAGCACGAGCAGACTGGTGCCAATTGCCACTGAACCATCGAGCCAGCAATGCTAGACATCGGAAACAGCGTGCAAGGCTGCCAGCCAGCCGATTGGTGGGGCGACGCGACGCGGCCGAAAGAAGAAGGAAGGAGGGAACAAGAACAGTGCGGAACACGAGCTGGATAAAGCGCGAACTCAACAGCAGAGCGCTGGAGGACAGACAGACGGTCGAGCGTGCTCCTGCAGTGGCACCGATGAGCGGGGAGACGGCCACACAGCCACCGCCGTCAGCGCAGGCAAGAAAAGAACAGAAAAAGCGAGGATGGCAACGCCGGGCGAGGCGGCAGGCGGCCGGGCCGACGCACGACAGAGATAGGCTGGCGGAGCAGACCGAAGCCGTGCACTGGACCACACCAGACGCGAACGATCCCCGCAGCTGGGCAGACACAACTGACCAGGAAACGCGTCCACAAAAGCAGACATCGGGGATGGACAGACCTCCCTTTAGCAAACGTGGTTTCTGTGAAAACGACCTGAGGCCCAAACCTGGCGGGCGCAAGCCTGGCAAATAACGGCCGCGGCACCCTCTCGAGAACCGAAAACGGACAATTCACTAATCGACGCGTCACTGTTGGGGGTTCTGTCCACCCCCGAAAACAGCAGAGCGCGAGAGACGCGCAGCTGCTCGGGCGGCAGCACGGCAGCGCCGCCACAGGCGAAGGACTCCGCCCGCGGGGAACACCATCTGCAACGGCCCAAAGGGGGAGACGGACAGCACGCGACAAACCCCAGGAGAGTCGCGGGGCTGGCGGCACAGCCGATCGGGCGCCACGCCGCCCGAGGCGGCAGAGCCGCGAGGAAGCTCCAGGCGCACCCGGCAGCGGCGCGGGGCGCGCCGCGCGTCATTAGAGCGGGGCGCACAGCGAAGGCCACCGCTGGAGGCGGCTGTGCCGCATGGGTGGTGCACAGCAAAGATATGAGCGGCGAACTCGCGGGGAAAGAGAGCCGAAGGCTCTCGCGAAAAACAACACGCACTGGCGCATCCAGGGCAGGAGAGAACGAGAGAGAGAGAAGGAGAAGGAGAGAGAGAGAGAGAGAAAGAAAGAAAACAAAAAAACAACAAATATATATATATGCATATATATATATGCATATATATAATATTGTATATATATAAAGAGAAGGAAAAAAAAAAAAAAAAAAAAAAAAAAAAAAAAAAAAAAAAAAAAAAAAAAAAAAAAAAAAAAAAAAAAAAAAAAAAAAAAAAAAAAAAAAAAGAAAAAAAAAAAAAAAAAAAAGGAGGAGAGAGAGGAAGAGAGAGAGAGTGAGAGAGAGCAGGAAGCGATGGGGGAGAGCCCGAAGGGTAGCGACGCCGGGGCGGGGGGCGGGGGGGGGGCGGGCGCCCAGGGCCGGGCCCCGCAGCCAGAGCGGACGGGCGCGGGCAGGGCGAGAGAGCCTCGGAGCACCCGCGTCACCCCGGGGCAGGCGCGGGCCGAGGCCGAGGCCTCGGGAGGAGCGCACGCCCCCAGTCGCAGCACGGCGTCGCTGCCGCACGGTCCTCCATCGGTGGACCACCGGAAGCGACGTGGAGGGCTGCGGAGGCGGCACCGTGCCCGTCAAGAGTGCACCATCTCCTCGTCGCGGGGAAGAGCCGCGCATGCAAATGCCGAGCACTCTGACGCTCCTCAGGCCAGCAGCTGCCGTCGAGAGAAAAGTAGCCTTCCTGCGTCGCGTACGTAGGGGCGGGGCGCCACCACACGTAGCGCAAGGTCAGCACGCGCTCGTGTAACGCCACCGCCAATAGATCGCGGTGGAGTCGCACTCCATGTTGACCGGAACAGGAATGTCCACGTTGCAGTGGCACGGGCATCTTCGACATGTGCCTGTGACTCGGTGTTGGACTATCTAGTGGTGAAACGGCAAGGGTACGTACCTGGTCTGGGTGAGCTGGTTGCTGGCTTTCACCGTCGCTCCTCCTCCTCCTCCTCCTCCTCCTCCTCCTCCTCCTCCTCCTCCTGCTCCTCCTTCGCAGGGGATTGTGCAAGTCGAAACCCCACAGCTCCTTTGCGGGCGTTTCGACGTTAACCCCCTTGTGCGGATGTCCTGTCCTGTCCTCCTTCTCCTCCTCCTCCTCCTCCTCCTCCTCCTCCTCCTCCTCCTCAGTATCCCTGGTTTCCGAAGGAATGAGTCGTCAGGCTGGAAGGGAGGAGGAGCACGTTTGTGATTGCAACGAGGGTGTGCTGCTGGCGTCGTCGTCCTCCTCCTCCTCCTCCTCCTCCTCCTCCTCCTCCTCCGCAGCATCATCATCATCATCATCATCATCATCATCATCATCATCATCATCATCATCATCATCATCATCATCATCATCATCATCATCAGCATCATCATCATCATCATCACCATCACCATCATCATCATCATCATCACAGCATCTCATCAGCAGCTCATCATCATCATCATCATCATCATCATCATCATCATCATCATCATCATCATCATCATCATCATCATCATCATCATCATCATCATCATCATCATCATCGTCATCGTCATCGTCATCATCATCAGCAGCAGCATCATCATCCTCATAAGCATCATCGTCGTCATCATCAGCATCATCAGCATCATCAGTATCATCAGCTGCATCATCATCATCATCATCGTCGTCGTCATCATAATCATCATCATCAGCAGCAGCATCTTCATCATCAGAAGCATCATAAGCATCATCCTCATCAGAATCATCAGCATCAGCATCGTCATCATCGTAAGCATCATCATCATCAGCATCATTAGCATCAGCCTCATCATCATCATCATCATCATCATCATCAGCATCATCATCATCATCATCATCATCATCATCAGCAGCATCATCATCATCCTCATCCTCATCATCATCATCATCCTCGATCCTCATCATCATCCTCATCCTCATCCTTATCCTCGTCCTTGTTGTCCACCGTGGCGGGGGGGGGGGGCGCGCCAAGCATAGGCGAAGAGGGAGAACACCGTCGTCACCGCGAACACCGCGGGCTGCCCGATCTTCCTCGGGCAACTGGGGCCACCAAAAGCAGGCGACCAGGAGAAGAGAGAGGAGGAGGAGGAGGAGGAGGAGGAGGAGGAGGAGGACGAGGACAAGGAGGACGAAGAGAAGGGAGGAGGAGGAGGAGGAGGAGGAGGAGGAGGAGGAGGAGGAGGAGGAGGAGGAGAGAGAGAGAGAGAGAGCAAAAAAAACAAAACGAAAAAAGGGGAGAGGAACAAAGACCGAAAGCGAGAAATGGAGAGAGAGAGAGAGAGAGACAGGGACCTCCCTCCCACCCGCCCACTCCCAGTCCTCTGCCACCCTAGCTCCCTCCAGACCACTTCCTCTGCCGCCGCCGCCTCCTCCTCCTCCTCCTCCTCCTCCTCCTCCTCCTCCTCCTCCTCCTCCTCCTACCCTTCCTCCTCCTCATCTTCCCCTGGCCCTGTCAGTGCGTCTGCCTCCGCAGGGCTCCTTTTCATTGGGCATTCCAGCGCCAGCCCCGACATTCCGCGAGGTATTTCACCCCAGGCCCCAGCATTCCACACCAGACCCAAGCATGCCAGACCAGGCACTCCAGCTTGCACCCAGTCCCAGACGTCAAGAGTCACGCCAAACCCCAGAGCCCAGCATTCAACCCCAGCTCCAACCATACACAGGGCATGTCGCCCCAGACTCCAGCATTTCACTGAGCGTTCCACCCCACATCCAAATGTTGCGCTCCAAACCCCAGCATCGTTCAACCGGGCGGTCCAGTTCAGACCCAAGCATTACACCAGCGTTAGGCAGTTCGCTCAGTAAAACGAATTGTTGCACCGTGCGCTAAGCAAGTGTCTTCAAGCAGAGACGTTCTTGGCCTATGTCCTCAAATTACCACAACCTGAATGCGCGCGCGAGCGTCCGAAAGCTAACACTGAGGGTCCTCTGGGACACACACCCCTCGAGGGCACCCAAGGTACAGATCCGCTCCGACGCGGCTCAGAGTGGCCACAGAGCTTCCCAAGAAGTCCCCCAAGACAAAGGGCAGATGCGAGTTCAAGACGACCGAGGAGGAAGACCAAGATGGCGCAAGAGAGATCATGAGTGGCCCCACGATACCCAACAGGGCACACGATGGCTCCATGACCACAATAGGGGACTAGACCGACAAGGGGAAGCGGAGGGAGAGAGAAGAAGTAAGAAAACGGGAAACCCCCCAACTGCGCATTCCAAACACTCCTTCCTCCCCGGCCCTCCTCATCCTCATCCTCATCCTATCCCTTGCTCGCAAAACTCATGTTCCGATCTCTCTTGCCATTATCATCATTATTATCCTCATCATCATCCATCCAGTCTCTCCTCCTTCTCCTCCTCATCATCGCCATCGTCATCATCAGCAGCAGCATCAGCATCATGCGCATCAGCAGCAGCATCATCAGCATCATCATCATCATCATCATCATCAGCAGCAGCAGCATCAGCATCAGCATCAGCATTATCAGCATCAGCAGCAGCATCATCAGCATCATCAGCATCATCATCATCAGCATCATCATCAGCATCATCATCATCATCAGCATCAGCATCAGCATCATCAGCATCAGCAGCAGCATCATCAGCATCATCAGCATCATCATCATCAGCATCATCAGCATCAACATCATCATCTGCATCATCATCATCATCATCATCATCATCATCATCATCATCATCATCATCATCATCATCATCATCATCATCATCATCATCATCATCATCATCATCTGCATCATCATCATCATCATCATCATCATCATCATCATCATCATCATCATCATCAGCCTCAGCCTCAGCCTCAGCCTCAGCCTCAGCCTCAGCCTCAGCCTCATCCTCCTCCTCACCATCCTCCTCCTCCTCCTCATCCTCCTCCCCCATCCCTCATTCGAAACAAGGGCCCGTAGCCTGCTTATGCGTTGTTAATTTGCCGTGGACATTCACCTGGCTGACACCACGTCCGCCGACCCTTCGCTGTTTCGACAGACAGCGATTGGCACGTGCAAGCGTTGGTAGAAGAGGGCAAAGAGCAGAATGGGAGTCTAAGAGGAAGATGATGTCATCTCGGAGTTGTCATGGAATCGCGCCGTGAAATGGGCTCCATCCCTCGCTCTTCTCTGGTGGATTGCAGTGCGTCCTCAAAAAACGCACGCGCCTCACAGTCACCTGGCGTCGAAGGCACTTGGGAAAAGATACGCTTCTCTTCTGCCAGACACTGATGAGAGGAGGAAATTCGGGGATGGACAGACCCCCCTGTAGTAAAACGTGGTTTAGTGAAAACGACCTGAGGCCTAAACCTGGAGGGCGCAAACCTGGAAAATAACGGCCACGGCGCCCTCTCGAGAACCGAAAACGGACAATTCACTAATCGACGTGTCACTGTTGGGGGTTCTGTCCAGCCCTGAGAAATATCCGAGGCAACTGCCCCAGCCAACCGCCCAGCTCCGCGTCCCTTGGCTTCATCCTCCCCTCGCTTTCCCCCGGAGCTGGGTTGGAGGTGGTGGTGCAGCTGGGGCTGGAGCTGGGGCTGGAACTGACTGGAGCTGGGGCTGGGCTGGAGCTGAAACTGGAGCTGGGGCTGGAGCTGGCGCTGGGGCTGGAGCGGGGGCTGGAGCTTGAGTTCAGGCTCGAGTTGGGGCTGGAGCTGGGCTGGAAGTGGGGTTAGAACCGCGGCTGGAGCTGGAGCTGGAGCCGCGATTGGAGCTGAAGCTGGAGCTGGGGCTGAGGCGAAGCTGGAGCTGGAATTGGAACGGGACTGGAGATGAGAGCCTGCAGAAAACCACCCACGCGCTGGATAGTCGGCTCCAGATGCTTAAAACCAGGTCTGCGAGACGAGTTCTGGCAAGATGAAGGGCACCAAACGCTGGAGGATTGGCTTTGGACGGTTAGAACCAGGGCCGAGAGTAAAGTCTGCCGGCGTGAAGAGCACCGAATGCTGGCTGGTTCGCTCCAGGATCATAATCACTCCCAGAAGTGGACACATCTGACAGCACGAAGAGCCAGCCGGCTGCAAGGGTTGGCTTCCGATGATCAACATCAGCCGCGCGAGTGGGGTGCCGACAGCGCGAACATTCAGCCGGCCGTCGAGAAGCCAGCTAGCTGGAACGGCTGCACCAGCCTCAGGCCAATTCAATTCAGCCTGCGTGCTGGCTCCGGCGGAGCGCTCCCCTGGGGCAGGCGGGGCGCAGGAGAGCAGCAAGCGTGGAAGGGGCGAGGGAGGGCGCAGAGGCGACCGGGGCAAGGCTGGATCGAGCTTCTCTTTCCGTGAACAACGGTTGCACCCGAGTGGAGCTCTGGCAGCACGATGTTGCGACCGGCTGTGAAGGTAGCACCCGCATGATCAGAATGAGGCCCAGGAGTGGACTCCTGGCAACACGACGTTGCTCCCGGGCGCAAGGCTGTACCTGGACAAACAGAACTAGCCCAAGGAGGGAAGTTATGGTAGCACCAAGTCTGGAATCACCCTGCGGCCTGGCCCCAACCTTCCGCAAACAGTAAGAGACATCCAAGACCAGCTCCTGCAAACAATAACATAATCAAACATCATTTGATGAAACTCTGCGTGCGCGAGGATCTACATCAGGAAGCCTGGGCAGCGCTGCACATAATCAGGGGGGACTGGAGAGTAGCGCACACTTTGATTAATTGCCAAAGTAAAACGATAAAAAGGTTCCAAAGTCAGAAAGAGCGCATGGAGCGAGAAAAGAAGTCGCCGAATACACTGTCGCCACCCCTACCGCAGCTGAGAATGGACGGCCAAGGCGGCCGCTGCCCGAAAAAAAAAAAAAAAAAAAAAAAAAAAAAAAAAAAAAAAAAAAAAAAAAAAAAAAAAAAAAAAAAAAACGCTGGCGCAGAACAACTCCGAGATGAAACGATCCTCTTCTTAGTCTCCTACTCTGCTCCCTGTCCTTTTCCCCTACCAGCGTTTGCAAGGGCCAATCGCTGTCTCTCAAAACGAATGGTCGGCGGATGTGGCGTCAGCCAGGTGAATGTCCACGGCTAGACTACGACGTATTAGCAGGTTAGGGGCCATTGTTTCGAATGAGGGAGGAGGGGGAGGAGGAGGAGGAGGAGGAGGAGGAGGAGGAGGAAAAGGAGGAGGAGGAGGAGAAAGAGGAGGACGAGGAGGAGGAGGAGGAGGAGGAGGAGGATTTTTTGGAGCTCGACGCTCGCACCGCACATGACTGACTCCTGCAACGCGGGACCTGCAGGAGCGGCCGAACACCTCCCCAACAGGGGAGTGCCAGCAGCCAGAGCAGCGCCAACGGTCTGGGCCATGCCCCCGTGGCGTGCTAAGTGCGCGAAACAGGACGCGCAAGGAGACCGATCGTGCTCCGCGCGCCCTGTTCGGGGTAGGGGGCGCCGGAGTCCGTGCTCCGACGCCCAACCTACCCACCACCCACTCCATGGGTGACCGCTGGCGACGAGAGCGATTTTCTCTCCCCTTGGCCCCCTACAGGCAAATAAGGGTGACGATCGGGCTGCTACCCGCCTGTTTTCCTGGGAAGGGGTCCCAGTGGCACAGGTGCCGGAAGAGGAAGAGAAACAAGAAGAGGACGAGGAGGAGGAGGACGAGGAGGAGGAGGAGGAGGAGGAGGAGGAGGAGGAGGAGTCGCCGCTGGCCGCCGCTGGAGGGCGGGGCGCGGGGGCTCTTGATCTGGCCGTGGGGCAGCGCAGCAACACAGACCTGCCCCCGGCTCCCACGACGTTCGCATGCACGCGTCCCAGGCTCCAGTCCCTCCACCCGCCTCCTCCTCCTCCTCCTCCTCCTCCTCCTCCTCCTCCTCCTCCTCCTCCTCCTCCTCCTCCTGCTCCTCTTCCTCCTCAGCCATTTCGGCTCATCAGGGGATTGGGCCGTCCAACTGCTGGAGCTTGGGAGCAACACAGCATTCGAAGTGGCACTGCTCTCCCGACCCACAACATGAGCAATGGCTCCTGGGACTGCGCCGCGTGCGGCGCCGAGGGATGCGATCGCAACCACACGAGGTGCTGGAAGTGCTGGGCATGGAGGACGGGCGAGGGCGGCCGGCAGCGAAGCCGCCCCAGCCACAGCCGCAAGGACGATGACCAGCAACCAGGGCCAGAGGCTGACGCCCGAGAGGAGGCGAACAAGCTGGCGGCTCTGCGGAGCCGCGTGCGCGACCTGCGCGCGCAGGCCGCCGAGGAGGGCATGGAGTTCCTCAGCGAAGCAGCGGACCGAGTGCAGGAGGAGGTCCACTGCCTGGAGGCCCAGAAGGAGCAGAGCGTACCGCGGTGCTTCCTTCAGGCGCAAGTGGAGCGAGGGCGCCGCAGGGCGGAGACGGCCAGGGACCGCATCGAGAAGCGGATCGAGGCCCTCAGCGCCAAGGCAGAAGACGTCCAGACGGAGCCGGCGGAGGAGAAGTCCAGGCTCGAGGGGAAGGAGACGCACATCCAGCAGCGGGAGGCCAAGAGGTCGCAGCTGGAGCAGCACACCGTGCCCACCGACGCAGAGGGCTGGTGCGGCAGGGCGGCGCACCACCTGGAGCAGGTCGAGGCGCTGCTGCAGGAGCACACGAAGGAGACCGCCGACACGGACCTTAAGGCCAAGAATAATCGGGAGCGGCCAAGAGGGGGGTGTCCAAGAGGGGGGGGGGGGGGGGGGCAGATCATGACCGGCGGCATGTGCGCGGCCCAGCGGGGGGGCCAGGGACGTAATGGAATAAGAACCCCCGGCATGATGTCCACCCCCCCCTAGTCATCACCCCCCTCTCTTTTCCGCCCCCGACATAAGTACATCAGGGAGGCCCTCGCGATGGTCGAGGAGAGGCAGCAGGCAGCAGCGGAGGAGATGGAGAAGACCAGGGCCGAGGCCGAAGCCCAGCTCTCGCGCCCCCTGTCGCGCAAGGCGTGGGGCTGAGTCGAGCTCCAGCCGGGTCGCCATCCCCGCCAGGGCATCGCCGGAGCAGGTCAGGCAGCTCCTCAGCAAGCGTTGCACGGCCGAGCAGGCCGAGAGGCATGCGGCCGCCATGGCATCTGTGGGTGATCTGCTGGATGGCTGCTCCCTGGAGCTGCGCGCGCCATCGTCCCGACGGCAAGCAGCCACACAGGCAGCACATCATGACGGCCAACGCCAGCACGGCCAAGATCCCGGAGCGCGTGCTGGGGCTCACGAGTACCAAAGCCGTGGTGCTTGGCCAGGAGCTGTCCATGGGCATGGCCGACTCGGTGGAGTGGTCGCAGCGCATATCTCGAAAGGGTTGGAAGACCGCAGTGGTGCCCAGCGCGCGCACTGCGGACGGAGGATGGAGCGCGGGCGCGGCCATCGCGGTGCCCAAGCACATCACCATGAGCTTCGTGGGAGGGAACCTGCGGAGCTCCTGGGACGCGTCGCCCCCTGGCCGCCCGGCGGTGGCGTGAGCGGGCATCGGCGAGAGCGGCGGCATCATCATGGGCTCGTGCTACCTCTGTCACTCGGAGGGCCCCACACCAAGGAACCTGGCGGTGCTGGCGGCCTTCGGCGCGCTGGTGGACGCCACGGATACGCAGCCGGTCATCGGGGGCGACCTCAACATAGATCCAGAGCAGCTGTACGAGAGCGGGGTGATCGTCATCATCCGACCGAGCGAGGGCACGTGCACAGTGCCAAAGATGGAGGCCAGCACCCGTGACTAATTCATCGCGTCGGGGAGGCCGGGCCGTGCGCGCCAGATGCAGCCCACACTTCCCCGTCTCGTGTTGGCTGAGCAAGAGCACCCCAGCACACAAGGTGACGCTGCTGGTCAAGATCGCGCGCTGGCCGCTGGACATACCGCAGGGATGCGCGGCAGCCCCCATCGAGTGACCCGTCGGCCCCGACCTCGAGGGCAACGCCGAGCAGCAGGACATCGGCGCGCACTGGAAGGGCACCGCCAAGACCCACGAGCCCAACCTGAACCGCTACCACGGCTTCGCGGACGGCGACCTGGCGCGGAGGCAGGGCCACTTCCAAACGGAGCAGTTCTGGGAGGTCACGTTGGCGCCAGCGCGCAAGCCACCGAGGGGCGCCCCGACCAAGAGGGCCGCCACGGCGGAGTGGCTGAGATACCGACCGCAGGAGCTGGCAAGTTCGGCCACAGGCACAAGCGAGGAGCAGACCAGCTCCTGCCACACGTGGCAAAAGCAGCTCAAGCTAAACAATGCATACCAGGAGGTCCTCGACATGGACCTCCTGCCGCTGACAGCCGCCGAGGAGGGAGCACCGAGGGCACGGCCCGACGGCCCCACGGCGGAGGACTGGCAGAACAGGAAGTCGGCGATCACCAACCTCGGGGGCGCCAACGACACGCCGACGGACGGGGTGCCGCACATGGAGCACTGAGCGCTCCCAAGGCTGGCGAGGCTGCCGACCAGGAGGGCAGGGCAGCCCTCGCCAAGGCGACGGAGGAGTGAAGGTCAGCGGGCACAGGCGCCCTCGGCGGGCGGAGCCGGCCCGCTGCACAAGCGGGCCAAGCCGTCGACGCCGCGGGCGCCGATCGGGCCGCCACCCCCGTCCCCCGCGGCGCCGCGGCGCGGCGACCCCCAGCGCTCAGCGGACGAGGTCCGGGAGGGCTGGGAGGAGGTCTGGCGCGGGCCTGCCAGGGGGCCAGGCCCCTCCCTTGCAGGAGAGCGCCCAGCGCGCCTCGCGGGCCGCGGCTGGCGCGCCACGTGGCCCCCGCCGAGGTGTGCCGGCACGGCGCGGGCTTCGAGAGGCAGACGAGCTCGGGCGCGGGGCAGCGGCACCCGCGCCCGTGGGCCACGGGGGGCGCTGAGGGCACACGGCGCCTCACCGACGTGCTCGACGCGGTCGAGGACGGTGCGCCCTGGCCGTCCAGCCAGTCGGACATGCTGCTCTACAGCATACCGAAGGCGGGAGGGCGGGGGCACGAGGTGCCCAGGCCCGCTGCCAGGGGCGGCCAGGCCACGGGAGAAGTGCAGGCGCCCCATCATTGCTAAGTGGGAGGTCTGCCACAGAGGTGATTACGACTGGTCACGCACTGGACGCAGCAGCGAGCGCGGCGCACGAATGCAGCAGCTCTTCTGCGAGGCAGCCGCGGCTGACGGCGAGCTACGCTATCACCCTGCTGGGCCTGGTCAAGCGCTTCGAATACGTGGGCCACTGGAGGGCCTGGGAGGCTGGCCAGTACTGGGGGCCCCCCACGCGCCCGCTGCGCGCGATCCTCCGCATCTGCGGGATGACCAGGAGGGCGGTGCTGGAGGACGCGGTCACCAAGGGCAGGCGCTGGCGGCAAGGCCTCGTGGCGGGCTCCGTCTTCGCAACAGCCGC